TCATATAAGAATTAATTTCGCCTACAATACAATATTATTATTATTGAAATACAGAAAAACCTGTGACACTGCGACCTTTCCATGATCTTTTGCTCGCCTTTTTTTAAAGTTCTCTGCTAATACCTATCAGTGATAGGAATTTTAAAATGTTCTCTTGTAGCGTTGTTTTTATCTCCTCAGGATATAAAGTGTATTTTTCAAAGAAGATATATCGTTTAAGTGTGAGCAGCCAACATGTAAACTTTTTTAGCAATTTATTATCTAAATATAATCAGAGCTCAAAGTTATCATTAATATTTACAAAAATATTACTTATAATTGTGTGTGTTTTTTTTTGTACTTTATCTTCATAGTAATAATAAAAAAATATTCCATTTAGGTGGCAATCAAGCATACGGCCCACCTTATGGTAAGTGGTTACCGTAGTCTATGACCGCCTGCAATGCCAAGGGTATTACGCGCGCATTGCCGACCCTAAAGAAACCTCTTTAGCCCCCTTTTGAAGAACCCCATGCTGTAGTCTCTTGGGAAAACCTAGGCAGGGAGCTCATTCCATAACCTGAGTGTTCGTGGGAGAAAACATCTCTGTAACCGCGTTGTACGCAACCATTTAGGTTTTTGTAATATACCTATATTAATACCTAATTAACTACCTATAATGATGTAATTTATGCAACGCAATTAGAATCTAATAATGATTATTCGATTAACAAAATATGTAAGTAACGTTATATTAAGCAGTACTTTTGTAGGAACTTCATCATTTACAATTTACTGTGCACCATATACAGTTCTTCCAGGTCTTCAGATAGAATAATAAATAAGGTAAGGATAAAACATTTATTCTTATTCATAACTTTGTAATCAATTTGATAGTAAGACGATCGTCATTAAAGACTGTGATAATTTAAATGTGTTAATTGACAAAATGTGAACATTTCGAGAGTCACATTTCCTATAACGGTAATAATCGACAATTACTAATGTTTATCTCATCAGGGATTACAGTCGTAAGTATATTTATAAAAAAATAAGTTATAAAACACCTTAACATTTTATTCTTATAGTAATTTTTATTTTATTATTATTACAGATGGCTCGTTTAGTTCTCATCGTTGCTGCAGTTTGTTTAGTTGAAATTTTCGCAGATGTTCCTTCACATCCAACATATCTTTATTCATACTCAGAGCACAGAGGAAGTTTAAAGCCTCTTAAAGCTACTGAGGAAGTCCCATCAAACGCATATGAGTAAGTTTAAATTATACTGTATATTTTATTTATGCTATTATTTATCTATCAGCTATAAGCAACGATTACCACTTTTCATAAATTTGGTCGTATGATTAGAAACTTTTTTTTACAATTGTTTATTGATTTTATTTCTTGCTATAATCAGGATCAATGTTTTTGATTGCTTTAAGTTTATTATAATTTTTATTAATTAATCAAATTATTAAAAAGTAATATACGAAGCAATTTAACGATATGTTTTTTTATTGCAGATATCATGTCATTCCCAAAGACGAATACCCAGTTGTCGAATATGATAGTACAGCCAAATCCTCCATCTTTGATTATATTACCGATCCTATTGTAAGTATTATTATTAACAACCCAAACTTAATTATACTATACATATTTATAAATTGTTAAAAAATCTTTATTTTTATTTCAGACCGCAATAACTACTGTCGCATCTAAAGCACTCAGTGTCGGCAAATTCCTTTTAGTCAATGGTGGCTTGGTAGTCCTTGGAATGGCTTTAGTAATAGGTTTTTGTGGCTTTACTCCATATTGTACACTAAAAATCGAAAAGCCATTCGTAACCGGAATTAGATCTCTTAATATACCATATTTAGACCACGTGGAGTCCTATTTGAGGAAAGCTTATGACAAATATCATGCAATGCAACACTAATAATTGTGTTAGTCCTTAAGTTAAGTTTTATTTATTCCTATTGTTTACTAAAAATAAATTGAAATTACATACAATTTTACTTTATTATTTTACGTACCTTGTATTAAAGTATGTTAAAAATGTGTAAAATACATAATAAAGAATTTAATTGACTTTATTATGTTTTATATCAATTGGTATACAAGCATACGGTCCATTTGATGATAAGCAGCCTGTCATCATCATCATCATATCAGCCGTTAACTGTTCATTTCTGAACATATACCCATAAGGGGAGTTTTGCAAATAGTCGCCACGCTTGCCAGGCGGATTTTTTTTAATGAATGATAATGCAATGGTAACTCCGCCCGCGCTATCGGTATACATTAGTGGAGCACCAGTGAGGGATGATAGGTGAAAATGAAGTTAGGTTCATTGGCCCATCGCGACTTATTTGACAATAATTAATCGCAATGGTTTCCAGGGCGAATCGCATGGAGGTCGCCCTGATTCTAACAATCCTTCCATTACTCCCATTACTAACAATCCTTCTCCCCTCTACCAGGCGGGTTGGCAACCGCAGTTAGGCTTTTAGTAATATTTTAAGAGGAACGCTACTGTCCATCCCTCTACCATTAAGTTTCTATTAGTCGCCTCTTACGATACTCACAGGAATAGGAGTGGCTTATTCTATGTTGGAGCCAACGTAGTCTATGAATGTTTGCAAAATCAGGGGCATTACGTGCGCATTGCCGAACTTTAATATAAATTAATAAAAAAAAAATATGTATATATCAATTTTATTTATTCAATTTCGACAACTCGATACAAAATTAAATAATTCTATACGTACATACTATAAAACAAAAATTATACAATAAAAATGCAATATCAATATAATACTATAAAACAATAATATCTAAATATAAAATATGAAAATGTAAGAGAATTAATAATAAACAGAGCGACGTCTTCTATTGCCGGCTACATCAGCGACCGTCTGGATCTTTTGATATTTATCAATAGCGGTCTTGACAAAATCAGCAGCATTACTAATCTTTTCCAATCTCTCTGGGGAAATAAGTGCTCTCATCTCTTCATGAATAGGCCCAACTCCATTAAAGGTAATAGCACAGAGATTAGTGTAAGAACAAATGCCAACAGTGAGGAGTGATCCAAGGAACACCGCGAACATACTACCAAATATCCATGCCAGAGTTCTACCGACGTAACTGACGATTGTCTACAAAAAAGAAACATTAACATTAAAATTAAGAAATATTTACTTATTTATTCATTCTGTATTGCACCCCTTAAAGAATAATACAAAAACATATAAATATTACACTTGTGATATTTTAGACAACCTTTGGGTAGAAAAAACAAAAAACGGTAGCTTTTGGCGCAAGAAGTGTACCTATATAATAAAAAAACACTCATGTTATATAAAACATATACAAACAATCACATGCATACATTACACACATCTAAGTACTTATAATAGTATATATTATATAAATAGATATAAATACTATTTTAATTATTAATTTTTTTAAATTTAAAAACAAAATACGAACCCTAGAATCAGGAACTTGGCTCCACAGTAACCCAAATGCAGTCGTGTCAGGCTCAATTAAATAATTACTTGGGCTGTTTACATACATGTCATGTCTGTAAAAATACAGAATTCCTGATAAAATAAGGACACCCAAAAAAATAAAAGTCCATAAATAAGTAATTTGGTAGAATTCCATTTTAGTTCGAATTATACAATATTTTTTTTTTGCAACAATCGTTTTATTATTAGTATTTCTTTTGAAAACTAGCTGAAAGTGATAACTATCGGCTATAGACATGAACAGTACCATGGACATAACAGAGAATACTGTGTCGCCCATGATACCTCTCATTCATTACCATTCCTAAAGTCTAAGGTGTTATGCCACTGTATCCTGTCTATTCACTGTCATATCATGCTCTTCAAACAGAAACACAGCCATACAATACAACTGTTTCACGGCAGAAACACATATGGGACACAGGTACCCAAGTAAAAGACAGTCTCTCTCGCTAGAAAAAAGTAAAAGACACATACATTTACCCATATACAAAATAAAATTTTTAATTTACCCATGCGATCCAGAGTACGCAGTGTCATATGTATATCCAGGGGCATATGGAATATCAGGATAAGCTACTTCAACTGGATTTGCAACATATGCATACCCAGGAATGGCTAGATTATCCTAAAAATTAAGGTACATTTAAATCTGATTCATAAAAGATGAATAAAACAATAAGTGAAATTATAACTGAATTTACAATTAGGTTGAGATAAGTTACATATTTTCTAATTTCATCTATATAAAGTGCTGACTATACTTACGATTCTGTTCACTTCGGTACTAACTTCAATTGGTTGGTCAGCTAACATCTTTTCATGTTTTATAACGGGTCCTGTTGCTTTCACAGGTTCTATTCTAGCTCGTCCTTCATTTCTGTATTCATCTCCTTTATAAACTGGATGTTTTTCAGGCTCAGACCTGGCTTCTTTTTTAAATACTGGTTCCGTTTTCAAATCTGGTTTGAAATTAGAATGTTTCTCTAGCATAGCATAGGACGAAGACATTTCGGCCATTGAAACTTTGATTAAATATTCGGCCGAAATAGCTATAATCAAAAGTACTGATGATACTTTGAACATCTAAAAAAAAATAAACAAAATTTTGTTGTAAATTGGTGCCTATAACGTCAAATATTATTATTACATTTATCGATGTTAAAAATAATAAGTACATAAATTAAGTTAACATTCAATTGGAGAATAAAGAAAGGCTTTGTATAAAATTTATACACTACGTTACCAAAATTAATTCTTACCTTGAAAGTTCTAGTTTACTATCCTCAGCTGATTCCCAAAAGGAACTAATGTCGTTTGCTGATGGTCCTGGCTTTATATATTGTCAACATTTTTATGAGTACATCACGCATCCCTTGTTTCTAGTTATCTTTCAACATTTCGTTGCAATAATGGACAAAATAATTCCAACCGATAAAGATTCGTCAACCGCATGGAATGTACTAAAAAAATTGCTCGTTCTAAAAACGTACCTGTCTAAATGTTTTAATTTTTTTTATTGATATTTCAAGAGTTGTCACGTTGGAGATATTTACGAGCACTGACTAAACAATGATTTCGCTGAAGTTAATGCTATTTTTTCATCAAAGGAATTTGAATTTACCTTATTTAAACTATCAGTTATATATACATACTTATTAATATGCTACTTAAATACATTGACACTATATCATATTAATATTTCATTGCGGTGACCAGTCACTATTATCGATTAGCTGTAAAAGGTCACTGTAAAAAGATTCAAAGAAATCAACACAATTATGTAAACCTAGTAGTAGAAGGTACGAACCTTTGTCTATTAACACTTTCGCGGACAGTGAAAAAGACATAAATAAACACACCAATTTTGTTAAACACCTTTATACCTAATTGTATTACTAAAAACATACATAGAATATTTTATATTAATTTTATTAACATTAATTATCATTTAAACTAGCTGTATATACAATATTGACTAACACATACACACATATCTATCACACCTGTCTCCCATTAGGGTAGGCAAAAACAATGGAACGCCAAATGCTTCGATTCAAACAAACCTCTTTCGCTTCTTCCACATTCATCTATCTTTTCATACACGCTCGCCGGGTACGGATACGTTTAATTTGGCCCTTTTTCAGCACGTCTCCTATTTATTCTACATATATTGACTAATATTATGATAATATATTATATGAATAATATTAACAATAAACTTATTGTTTTTTTTTTTACGTAAAATTTATATTTAGAATTCTCATCTTCATACTATAGTATGATCTATATAATATCAAGAACAAGTAATTAAAAAAATATTTAAAGATAAAAAATTTACTGTTAATATCGAATTCTAAGTTCAGAATTTATCATTCATTTCTATGTACTCACTCAAGCAGAGATCACTCAGCCCATATCTATAAGTATACCTACGAAGCAAAATTTAATAAGCTAGTATAGTATTATAGACATTGTCTATGCTATAAATATATACTAACGGCTAGCTTAATATTACGCCAATGAGGGCAATCAATTTCAATAAAACTTTAAAAGAAGTGGGAAATAGGACCACCAATTTGATCTATGAATAAGCAATGGTCGGTAAAATATCCACGTACATTCATTGGCATATTTAGGATTATATTTCAGGGGAGGCCTTTTTTTTTCGTACTGTTTTTGCTGTTGGCCGCAGATGGCCTTTACAGCTTCACCGAGCGCGTGTGCAGGGGCGAGTGCAGAAGGCACTCCAAGCCCGCGAGAGGGGAGCGACCAGGGAAGGCCTGTTAAAAGTCGTATATATATTTTCAGACACGTCTTTGTGATACTTCGCTTGCATTCCGGGGTAAGCATAAACTAATTCTAAGGTGGGCACGGCAAAGAATAGATGATAATTCCATAGAAAAATAATAGCATTGCCCGTCCCTGACCTCATTATTTTCTATTCTCATAGGATTTTGCAAAAGTTTTTCTTTTAATATATGAGTAAAATATAAAGTTTTTGCCATTGTCTTTGTTGTTTTTGCTGTGTCAACTAATCGAAAAGTTTTTATTTTTTAATATTTATTACCAAAGAGGGAACATGAAACCATAGCATCCGTTTTTATGAATAGCTAAACATAACAAAAATCAGTGTTCTTACTTTAATTTTTACTTGCATAATGATGAACAAGAAAATACATAATTACTATATTATATTAACATATATATTGACAAAAAGAAGATAATGTTATACGTAAAAATTATGCCTTTTTTAAAAGTACCTAACGTAAGAAAAGAAACATACTTATAAGTCGATTTTGTTACCCCGTATTGAAGGACTACTGTAACAACCTAACTAAATAAACACATGTATTGATCACGCTATATCCAGCTTGTTAACATCTATCACTCATGTCACGGTAAATATTTTACAACTTGAAAACTCATACCTAATATCATTGTTCTTTGGTATAGTTTACATAGGATATATGGGTATTTATGACGAACATCAAAATTTAAAATACTATTACTGAAATGTTCACATATAATTGTGCTAATGAAAGATAAATATAAACCATAATGGAAAAGCATACAGTCTGAAAAACCAACAATCGATGTGAAAATAAAAATTTACGAATATTTACCTCGTAGCGATAAATGCATACGATGTAGGACAAGTCCCCCTAAAGGGTAATATGAATAGTAGACCTTAATATGTTGCAAAGAGTTACTAACCAGAATCGTTCCTTAAAGCGGGGGTAGATTCAGAAATAGAAAATTAACGGTGGAATTTTTTTTATGTAACTTAAAACGGTCAACACGCTGACGGCCCACCTATTGGAAAGTAGTAACCATCGCCTATAGAAATATACAGTACTATGGCCATAACAGAGTATGATCATCATATCAATCATTAACTGTCTACTGCTGAACATAGAACCCCCTCCCCATAAGGGGATTTTTGGAGTTGTAATAGTAGTAGCTTCACTTGGCAGACGGAGTGACAACCACAGTTAAACTTTTAGTGATATTTGTTTAAACTGCTGCCCCTCTCTCACCCATTAAGTTCCTTTACTCAGAAAGGAAGGGGTGGCCCATTTTATGCCGTGTGGTCCCGACATAGAATTGGCCATACTATGCCGTGTGGCTGATACAGAGTATACTGTGTTAAAATGATAATAATCATATCATATCAGCCTTCAACTGTCCACTGCTGAATCTAATCCTCCCCCTTGGAGGGTGTTGCCGGTAGTTGACATGCTTGGCAGGCGGATTGGCAACCGCAGTCAGGCTTTAGAGATGTTTTAAAAGGGACGCTGCTGCCCATTCCTCGCCTTCCCTTAGTCACGACACCCACGGAAAAAAAGGGGTGGCCTATTCCACGCCGGGACCACACGACTAATTGTACATTATATATCTAGACAACAATAATAAATTTACCATGTTTATGTTTCCGATAACGAAGCCAAGCTTTAGAAATAATTTATAACACATATCCTTTATCGGCTACTTAACTCTACTTGATTGTTAACTTATATTTAAAGCGGTTTCTAAAAAGTTTCTCAATTAGTCTGTATTTTTGTATTAAAATTGTCACGTGATTACTTCACCAATATAGAACCGATTTTGATAATTCTTTTGTTATTAATAGGGATGTGGCATGATATCAAAATATTTAAGCGAATTTAAAACCTTCACCTTTTAGAAATGTCTCAAAAATACGAGTATTGTTTTTGCTAAAACAATACCTTTACTATTAGTCACTCATTTCACTAAATACCCTTACAAGTAGATATGTGCCATGATTAAAATTCTAAGAAAGCATCAACGCACAAACTTTATCAGTTGTAGTAAAACTTTTTCATTGCCATAAAAAGACAAATGAAAATACCTTAGCAACAAAACATCACTCAACATGATTAATGGACAAACGCTCACAGCAAAGTCAATTTGGTACACTTTACACATATTCATACAAAGTAATGTAAGTTAAATTGAAGTAGTCACAGGAGACAACTTGCAGAAATACTTACCGTTTTACGTATTCCCAAAATAATTTTATTTCCGCCTCCATACAAGCACTCATAATCGTGTTATAATTATACTAATGTAACACTATTACTTTTAAGTCCAAATAATAGCTATCACATAATTATAATATTTTATTTTAATAATCTTTTTAGCAAATTACAAAAACGTTATAAAGTTTATCCCTATTAAATAATCTGTATTTTATAGCTTTTTACTATTAATTACACCTGCATATATCCCACTTATTATTTATTCTAAATAGAAAGCAATTTGGGGTCCACTATTGTCAGATCAACACAATATTTTACAAGTTTTTCGACAATAATTATTGTAATCAACACGATCAAACATACTGGGGCTCATATAGTGACTACTCGCTTGCCGTACTCCACCTCGTGATAGTATTGTAACACGTGGTGGTTCAGGGTTATGGCTATCGATTCTTATTCACGACTATACCACTTTAGAGAAAATCACAATTAAATATTCAGGCAATTTTACAACAGTGTACAATTTTTTTATCTTTAAATCAATCATATATGAATAGGTAATTATTGATTAATGCAATTATACATATAATTGCTTATTTGTATTTATTTATCAACATAATTTATAGTCAATTATATCAACATAAAAAGATATGAAAAGGTAACAAAATAAACATCAGTATTAAAGTAATTACCTTTCTACGCTAACAGTGATGATAGTCTAATTATGGTGAAGTTACCTAGGTATATGTAACTTGCCTAGTTAATATAAGGTACATATTCTTACTGATTATATGATATTAAAATATTTTTTATTTATCAATTAATATTTAAATATTTATTTTCAGTGGTTTTTACTATAAAATGTTTTACTAACGACAATTAATATAGAAAATCCTGTGTTAAACACAAATAAATATAATTATGTTATGTTGAATAATCATGTTTCAGGATTTAGTACACCTTTGTACCAAATATTCAAATTCAACCATCCGTTTAAGCGTTGCTGCATAACTTTCCAAAATTATTCAGGAGCAGGTTATAATACTTACTAGAAGTAGAATATTAATAAGGTTATTAATATAACGACCACTGATTATCCAGGTATAGGCTGGACCCTTAAATAAGTCACATAATAATATGTGTTATCAGACATAATCCATCTTTTTGCATAGCTGAATACCTTACCTACTACCTACTAGCTGAATACCTACACCCCATACCCTAGATAAATCTGGGGTATGGGGTGGGACTGTCTACTAGCCTATATTGCCCCTGCAATGATTATACTAGATCAACATTTTTTTCCAAACATTTTCGAAGTTATATGAACAATTTCATATATTCATTTTCATTCTGAACTTGACGTTCATCGAAATTTACAAATTTAATTCCTTCTTGCTGTATATATATATATATATATATATATATATATATATATATATATAAATATATATTAAAAAAATAAAAACTCATGGTAATAACTTAATCTATGTCCATACCTTAATTTTGTTTGAGTGAAAAAATTTTTTTTATAGAAATATAGGGTAGTGTAGTGGTAACCTAGGTGTCATTCTTTTTTTGTTTACACTTCTATGTCTTTGAATAATGCGCCATTTTTTAGTAAATAGGTACTGACATTTTTAATTTGTTAGTTTAATTAACTTTTCCACAAAGCAGGTGAATTTTTAATAAGTAATTGTTTCTCTCGTGATAACATGAGATAAAATTGTGTATATTTATTTGTTTAAATATATATACTTAATTTTATATCATATATTTATCGAATATTATGTTTTTTGGAAAGTGGGATAAAATTAGACATTAAATATTATTGTCAGTATAAAATAATAAGCAAGATGTTGCAAATAAGCACTTTATATTTTTAAAATTATTTTGTAGTGGTTTTTTTTATATAAGGAAAGTTTATTAATGACAACACAAAACTAAACGTCAAAATAAAAACAAATTGTCATATCAAATTGTCAATTACATCGAATTTTAAAATTCAAAAGTATTTAAAAACTCATTTCTAAATTTTAATCTCAGATTTTAATATGGTGACGTAAAATTATTATTTTATTATGACCAACCTCTGTATTAGAAATTACTGCGAAATAAAATTTATTACATACTATGTATTCTGCTCAATTCCATACAGGCGCTATAGATAATACTTGTACTCTCAGAATTAGTACCTAAATACTATAGAATGAGGTAAAATTCTACTAAGTATTCTATTTTTAAAATATTCATCGAAAACTAAAAAAGAATTTATATATTAATTCTCTTTTGTTTTAGTAGGACTATTAAGACATACTGAAACAAAAAAGTAAAGATTTTTCTGAATGTAATTACTAAAGTATTAAATAATTGTAGTCATGGCTGTAAAAGAGCTTCCAGAATCTGTCCAGTGCTTATTATCTTCTTCCACATACATTAGCACATATAAAAGAGCTATTGAAGAATTGGTACTTATTCCTATACTTTACAGAAATAAAGATTCTTAGTTTTGTATTTTTAATGCAATTGTATTATTCCAGGTTTACAATTCTTTGGATGCTGGTTCTACTTCAATTGCCATAAGAGTCCACATCGAGGAAAATAAATTACAGGTCATTGACAATGGACAAGGAATTATGGAAAGTGATTTTAACTTACTTGGACAAAGATACACTACAAGCAAATGTGTCGACTTAAGTACATTGAAAGCAGCTGCCAATACTTATGGTTATCAAGGTTTATCTTTAGCTAATATTGTCAATATTTCTCGAAATGTTAAGATAACCTCTAGATATGAAAATAATGAGGATACATGGTTGAAAATATTTTATAAAGGTAAAACAAAAGAGTTAACTAAAACATCTGTAAGACCATCAAAAGGAACTACAGTAAGTTTTTACCAAGTGTTTTATTCTGTACACTGTGATTCTATGTTTTTATTGGAGTTGTCTGTAAATTTCTTTTACCTTTGAAATAATTTTAATAATGAGATATTTTTACTTATGATAATACAAAGTAATATAATTGGATACTGAACAATATAAGCTGAATATCTTATATAATTAACTAAGTTATAATCAATCTGTGTACCAAATATCATTTAAATCTGTTTAATCAAACTCATTGAATTACAATAATCTGATTTCTAAAATAATTAACTGTTCTACAAAAAAATAACTGACTTCCTTTTTGTTGACACAAAGGAAGTCAGTTGGCTTTAAAAATGATACTGATTATGATAAATATTTATCGGACCAATCTGTAAATATATGCTTTCACATAAAAATAGAATTCTCCAATTCCATTTACATCTGACAGAGGTAACAAACATAAAAAAATACAACCGAATTTAGAAGGCCTTTTTGAACTTTTAAAGCTAATTTATCACTAATATAAAAAATTGTAAAACAAATATAAAAATGTAAGTATAACATCATAATCCTCAGGAATCACAAACACATGAGATGAACCATGTCTATAGGAGTTATTGCTGTTTATGTCTACAGGCAATGATTACTGATTTTCATCAGTTCGACTGTAAGCTTGTTTGCCATGTGTTATATATTAATATTTATATTTTCTATTTACATAAGACTGTTTTTTTTTTTTATTAAATTAAGTAATACTATAAAAAATTACAGGTTGAAGTGAAAGGATTTCTTTACAATCTCCACATTCAAAGTAAGTCAGTTCACACATTGAATGAACTGAATGAAATAAAAACATTTATGCAACAATTTTCATTGATACATTGTAATGTGTCATTGAGTTTGAGAGATGATGCAAAAAATGAAATAATTTTCCAAGCTCATAAGAACAGAGATATGTGTCAATCCATACAGTTATTATTTAATATTGATCCTCAAGATATACAACAGTTTAGAGTTGAGAAAAATCAGTACAAAGTAACAGCTTTTATTGGAAAAAAATATGAAGATGGACATACTCATTGGATTTATTTGAATGGGAAGTTCCTTTCTAATAGTACATTACATAAAATAATAAATGACAATCTGAAAAAATCTTGGAAGACTTCAAAAAATGTTAAAACAAAGGTTTGTGTAAAATTATATTTATTAAACTTAAAATAACTCTCAATAAAGATATCTTGAAATTTAATAAACTAACACTCATACTGCTGATAACAGCTTGTTTTAATGTACAGTTAACTTAAAACAAGTTGGTAGAATCTGGCAGTTCTGCAAAAAAGCTATTACCACTATAGTAATTTATGTATAACATACCCACACTTCACTATTTGCTCTTCACTGTTAAAGTTGCTAAATCCAGTTATAAATTTTGTTTTCATTATAGAAAACAGAAAATGAAGATCTATATTTATTAAAAAACAAAATACCATTTTATGTTATATTATTGTCATGCCCATATTATGACTATCACATTAGTAATACACCAAAACACACAATATTAGAATTCAAAAGTTGGGATGAAATTACTAAATTATTGGAAAAGTTAATAAAATTTTACACGGGTGATAATAATTTTGTAAAACAACTAAAACCACTTAAGAAAATTGAAAAAAATAAAGTTGATGACACAAGAGAACAAGTTAGAAAAATTGTAGAAAGACTTTTGAAAAATAATCCTAAAATTGGAGTCTCCCAGATGAACAATGGTGTGAAAGGTAACATTTTCAAGGCCACCAAACACTTTTTGTGGTTTCAGTTATGACATAATAATCACCTCAGCAGAAACTATTTTATATACCGCTACACAATTGAGTGAAAGCTCTACTGCACAGTAGCAATAAAGTCACTGTTCTATTTGTATTTTTTTTATTTTAAATATATTTTTTCTACTTCCAATAATTTTAACTACTATGCAATGTCAATGTGTACACTATTATTGTATTCTATTGTCTGTTCAAACATTTGTTCCATTTTATATTATTAAACATAACATATATTAGTTACTATTTGAAAAAGAAATGTAATATTGCAAGTGTAAGATGAGAAACTGAATTGTTGTAATCTTTTATTTTGAAACAATTTTTATTAAGTACAACTATTCAGATTTATTATTTAACTTTTTGGCTAAATATTTGTTATTTCTCATTCGTTTATTATTCCTGAATAATATAATATAGACAATATTAGTATAGAATGTTTAGTTTTCTAGATATTACTCTCTCTATGTATAATGAAACTATTTTAAATCTTAAATTTTAATCCATGACATATTTTTCCACATTACAAAAAATTGTGTTTGTAATTTATATAAATATAAACTTCTAGATAGATTTCTATGAGATTAATAGATATTTAGATTATAATTATAAAGTAAATAGAATGGTAATGTAAACGAGAAAAAATATAATAGTATATATGTTAGAGTGAGATAGACAAATAGGACATTCACCTACACAAATCTTGAACCAATAAAAGCATAAACAAAACGAGTTCTAACAATTTTTACATTTTTAAAAACCACAAAATTACACATTTTTCACATAATTACACTCTAACATTTGTCTGTTTAAATTCAATATTATAAAACAGCCAGAAATATTTTGTAGAAGATTAAATGGAAAAAAATATCTAATTTCATTCAAATAAAGTGCTAAACTACCATGAACTGAAATAAAAATTATAACAAATATGTGAATTTTAGCAACTTCAATTCGATATAAATTCAGAAATGTCACTTGTACACATTTACATTATCTGCACATTATTATTTTCAAATATAACTATTTTCTCGTCTTGTTTTTGTAATTATATTTCCATTCAGTCAGTTCATCGTATGTTATGCTAGGTCTTTGAATAGACAACAATAAATATAAAATATGTTCCATGATGTATCTTACTATTCCAATTATAGATTTGAAAATTCATAATCTATGTTATCAGGTAAATTAATAAAACGGAAGATTAAAAAGAAACTACCAAACATAAGCCTGTCAAAAGTTATACCTCCTAAAACAGTTCCTGCGATAATACCACACAAGATATCAGAAAATCTAGAGTATTCAAATGAAAGTCATGACAGTAATATGCATGCTGGAAATAAAGTTGAAAAGGATTTTAATGTACCTAAAAAGAAATCAAAAAGAAGGAAAAGACTTAAATCAAAAATAGGATTAAATAAAGTATCAAATAAAATGGATTTCAACTCTAAGATGAATGACAAAATACCCGCAAATAAAGAACTCGATTCAGATATTTTTTTACCAACTATAAATTCAATTAAATCTGAAGAAAAATATATAAATAAGAAGTGTTTTAAAAATATACCTTTGAATAAAAAGTTAAATAGTATTGAGACATGTGACATGGTAGATATTTCTATGCAACATTCTCCAAGCTGTGTAAGTATAAGTGAAATGACAAAGAGTAGAAACAAACTGTCTAATGATGTAACAGATCAAATAAATGTTTCAGCATGGAAGAAAATTGATGAAACCATTATCCATGACTATTTACCACATCCTTTAAAATGTACTCAACTGTCTCATATTAACCATAATTTAAACCAAGAGAGCAAAAACAATCAGAACCATATATCTTCACACAATCTTTTAAAGACTGTTTTAAATACTCAAATTTGTAATATATCTAACATACCCAAATATAATAGTCCCCATACTCCTAGATTGGCAGATCAACCTTGGAATTTTAAACTGAAAGCAAGTATTAAATCTTCAAATTGTACGCATAATGGTATATTTCTGTCTAAATTTACATATGAGAGCCACAATTACAATAAACATAGCATGCCACGATCTATACACACTTCAGAAAAGAAAAGATCCAAATGCCAATTTATTACAATAAATTCAATGGAAAAGTTCCTCAATTACAAAGAAACATATTCTTCCATTTCTAAAAAGAAGAACTATAAAAAGCAACGCAAAATAAAAGGGAAGTTTAATAATGTAAAGGAACAAATTGCAACATGGAAAAAAAACAACAATAGAAATGACTTGCAAAAGTTATCATATGGAATTGAATTTTCAAAATATAACAGTAGTCTATTATGTGACGATTTTATCCACGAATATAGAACTAAGAGAACATCATCATTTGTTGGTGATTTAAGAAAAAACAAATCAATAGATTTATTCTCTGATAAAGAGAATTATATAAGTAATTCAGTTAATGCCAATATAGGCCATACTTACACCATATTATCAAAATGTAGTGTTACTGAAACTCAAAAAGTACTTATTGAAAATTGTGATCTCTCAAAAGATACATATAACTGTAACGATAAAAAAAATAAAAATTATAAAACTGATTTCAATAAATTTTACAATAACAAGTCATCAAATAGTGATATTTACAAAACTAATGTGATTATTTCTACCAACATTGAATCTATCACATCTATTAAGAATATTGAACCTGTCAATGTTTGCGAAGCAATTATAAGTAATAATAGTGACGATGTTGTAGAAAAAGAATATGAATTAAATTCAGAATATAATAAACTACACAATACACTTAGTAACGGCCAATCAAAAAACAATACTATAAGTCATGCACATGAAATAAATGATCTCATTGTGGGTGAAATTTCACACCACTTTCGATCATTTCCCGAAAGTGATTATAAAGAAACAGAAAATCCAATCAGGATTAATACTTTAAACGAAGATCAATCAAAATATGGATACATCAATCAAGAATTTAATAATCTACACCATAAAAATATTGGTGATGCTTTAGATAAAGATGTTAATAATTTCAACATACAAACCAGATATAACTTTGTACCTAAAGGTATGTAAAAATTCACTACTACGGTAGTAATTTTGGCATTATAATTATTATTTTTCTCTCTTAAAGGATTATCACCAATTTTTCAAAACTGTTACACAAATAATGCATGCAGCTACAATCTTGAAAAGGATTATTTTGAAGAAGTAAGAGCAAGTTTCGTTTTTTTAATTTAATGTTTATAAAATGAACAGAACTCTAAAAACTTGTGGTTTTTGTTATAAAATATTTTCAGAATGTATACCACAACTTTATCAATGACGTGTATATCAATTGTGAAGTATTCAAACCAATACTACTGAATATCTCTGATATAAATACTGCAGATATTGAAAGAGTCAATACAAAACTTCACAAAGAAAACTCCTCCATAACTTTTGATGCAATAGCATTAAAAAGTGCTAAGGTAAGTAACAAAAAAAAATGTAAGAATAATATAGAGTGAAAAGTAGAAAACCGTATTTTCACGGTTTTATTTCCTTGTATATATTTCAAGTAAAGGCAATGTTATTAGTGTTATACAATGTATTTAGGTTTTTTATTTGTTTATTCCAGGTTTTGGGTCAAGTAGATTGTAAATTTATTGCAGCTATTATGAAAGCAAGTGATAAATCAACTGATTACTTAGTCTTGTTTGACCAACATGCTGTACATGAACGGATTAGATTGGAGACAAACTTGTCAGGTAGAGTACAACATAGAACTATGTCACCCTAAAACAAACGCGCTATTATTTTAGTTTATTTCATTAATATTATAGTTCTGTAGAGATTTATTTATGTAACAATGTATAGTGTATATTGTACAACACAATGTATATTTTATATATTTCATTGGAGCATTTGTTTTTACTTCAGATTATTTTAATGGTTTTGAATGGAAAAGTGTTAAATTGGATGATATTTTAGTCAAATTATCTGAGGATGAGCTGCTTTATGTACACAATTACAAAGATAAATTTACTTCTTTTGGATTGGCTTACACGATTTTCAACAAATATGAAATCTCTATAAATGCAATACCAGAGGCTATTCTTGGTAAAAATTCTAGATCGGTATGTGTAATTATAAATTTACATTTATAATATAACAACAATAATGAATGTCATCTGAATTATCAAATTAATATTTTTTTTTTTTCGATTTCATAAATTAGAAGTTTTGACATTTTTCCCCACAAATGACTAATAATTCATATCTACATTGTATGGTACATAAAAATTAAAATCAGATCAGATTCAAAACTGAAGATCTCATGTACGAACTTTGAATTATTTTTTTAACTCAATATGTTTACATCCGTATTTCTCCCGTACCAATATTATCAAGATTGAAGTAGATTCTTTTTTCTCGAACAAATTTTTAAATCATTGTATTAAGAAATTTGTGATCAAATCTGTTCACTTTATCTCTTTTGAGAGCGAAGCAATAAACTGAGTTGTGACCATTTTGTATTGTTATGGCACACGCACAAACGAAAAATTGTATTTAGCTTTATGTATTTTTTTTAATCATTCATGTTATCTCGCTTCTTATGTATATATATGTTGTAATTTGTGTGCTGTAAGTAAGGCAAATAAATTATCTATATATCTATCTATAATATGCATATTTTTCATTTTTAAATTTCCAGGTGGAAAAAGTGATTGCTGCTGTAAAGAATCTTATTCTTGAAGAAATTAATACGATAAAATCACAAAAGGGCTGCATTTCTATGTATCCAAAATCTATTATGGACTTAGTTTTCAGTGAGGTAAATACAAATATCTTATTGTAAGAATATATAGAGAATTATAACAAAAATTAGCATCATGATATAAAATGTTATAAGTTATACTTATTTCGTAAATCCGAAATGTTGAGGATACCAACCTTCAACTTGCAATTTTTGGAAATGTATTTTTTTTTTATACAACTGAGAATGGCAAACAAGCTGACGGCCCACCGAACAGTATACTCTGTTATGTCCATGGTACTGCTCATGTCTATAGGCGACGGTTACCACTTTAAATCAGGTGGGCCGTCAGCTTGTTTGCCATTCTAAGTTGTATAAAAAAAAACATCCACGCGATTCCCCTAGAAAGCATCGTGTTCTATTATTATTAATTTGTCACGAGTGTTCAACTGACCTGTTTCATTCTCACCTATGATTATTCACTGGTGTCCCGTCAGTGTATGCTGATAGCGCGATAGGGAAACGATTCCATTTTCACCCATTAAAAACCCTCTGCAGATTTAAGATTCATTTCGAGTACATGTGTTTCAGCGTGAACTTTTTCTGTTTCACAAGGTTTTAATATTGCAGTGCTACATTTGGGGGTTTATTAATTAAATAAAAAATATCTTCTATCTCTTTCTGCATTCGCATCATGTTTAAGTTTGCTTCAACAGAGTTTGTTTACCATAAGAAGACTTTGTACAAAAATTGTTTGCTTGGGTACCTCTATCCCAATCGTGTTTCAACCGTGAAGCAGTTGTGTTTGTGTTTACTCACAAGCCGTCTTGCTACTCAGCCTCACTCATTCGCGTTGTGAGTTAAATGTTCCACCTATTTAAATACTTATTACATTTTCTATTCACACAGGCATGCAGATACGCAGTAAAATTTGGTGATAAACTTTCAAAGGATGATTGCTCTTCATTCTTACAATCTCTATCTGAATGCAAAACACCTTTTCAATGCGCACATGGCAGACCAGTTATGGCGGTACTAACGAATATTCAATATACTAAAAATGATTACAAGGTAATAAGACACATTTTTTTGTATACTATATTTCTTCACTCTTTAACTTTAGTAGATACCTGTCTCTGTATACTTTCGATGGATCTATTTTCAACGTATAACATAATTATTTACTACGTCCTTATAAAATTCTTAGTGGAAACTGTATATTAATGCATTTCACAAAAAAACTCTTTCACCTAGAGGTCAGCGTTATTAGCTAGCGATACTTTATTAACGCTATGTATCATTTATCATAATATAGATAGTAATTATGGATACTATTCTTAATTTATGATAGTAATAAATGCCTGCATATGCATATTTTTATGCATATAAAAATATTTCATAAATAATGGTAAAATTTGAATTAGTTTAATTTTGAAGTAGAAATAAGTATTACGTTGTTATAGACGGCACATACATTTTATTCTTTGTTAATTCTTTAAACAAATTTGATCTTATTTCAATTAATATTGCTTTGTATGCACTTTCTTTCAGACAAATGTTACCAAACTTATAGCATTTAAGGATAATGTTGCGAATACTTTTAAATGACTTAGAGTGATAACAAAAACCAGATGTAAGATTATTAAAATACATTAAACTACATTTTGTTTTATTTTAATTATAGACAAAAAATAAGACTTCACTTATATTTACACAGATATTTACGTATATAAATTGTACTATTAAATTTCGTTACCTATCCAGATTTCGTTCCCTACCTATCTATTAAATTTGCCTTCAAGAACAGTGCTCAATCTTATCTATTAAATTCTTTAAATCAAAAAAGTAAACAAGTAGGCAATAGTTCATCATATGTATGTGTACATGTATGTATATGTGTATATTTTTATACCTAAGTAGTAATATATAAATATGTATGTTTATTTTATAATTGTTTGTGTGTATCTAATTACCATTTTATACTAAAATATAAATATTTTTTGTTGGTTGACTGGTGCAGAATGCCTATAGTATTAGTCCGCCTTTGTAGCACATTTTATTGGTCAATAGAGTTTAAATAAATAAATAGATATCATTAAATAGTTCTACAGTTGTACACAACATTAGGTTAATACGTAATTAGGATACGTCTTAATTACCTACTCAACACGACATAGTTATTAAATTAAAATACAGAAATATACATCTTTTTATCTAAGGATTTAAAAGAATGGCGTCAATTTTTATATGCCAGAGTACAAGATTTTACATATACATGGACCAGTTTGCACTGCTATAAATTAAATCTGGATAACTGTGTAGGTAAATAATGTTTCGTTTCTTCTTTTATCCATTCTGTGTAATGTGAGATCCTGGTATGCACATCAGGAAATCCAACAGCACAAGGAATCCCCCATGAAACTAAGCCTACAAGTTTGTTATCTTTGATAAGTGGGCCTCCAGAATCTCCCTGTAAATATATTAAAAAAGGGTTTTTCATATAACATCGCCGTGTTTTGGTAAAGTTTCAATTAAAGATAGTTATTTTACCAATGGCTGACTGTACAAAGAAGTCTAGTTGAATACCTCTGTACCACTAGTGTTTCTGCCGTTAGACAAAGTCAAGCGAGTATTTCTTCTACAGCTGTGTTTAAGTTTGAAGGGCACTACATGATAGTGAAATTACAGACATACTATCTTAATACTTAGGAATGCAAACAAACACATAAGAGATGGCCACGGTAGGGCACTATGACATCCATTGGTGCTGTTTATGTTATGTGTAGGTAAAAATATTTACAATTTATAAATGCTTTCTGGTCGAATATTATACTCTCTGGCCGGACCGCTACAGAAGACATTTCCTTGCAAACAAAGCACCAATATCTGTATATTGTCAGAGGGAGACTTTAAACAAAAGTCAATTGCTTGGGTACCTCTGTCCCATTCGCGTTTCAACCGCGAAGCAGCTGTGTTTGCATGACTGTGTTTCGGTTTGAAGGGTGAGATATGGCGTGAATTTACTGGGTACAGAGGAATAACACATGAGTCCTTAGGAATGGCAACGCATGAGGGGTATCATGGGCGAAACAGTATACTCTGTTATGTCTATGGTACTGCTCATGTCTATAGGCGACGGTTACTATTTTCCATCAGGTGGACCGTCAGCTTAATTGCCATTCTAAGTTGTATAAAAACAAAGTAAAAAGTTGGATTGGTGTGCTACGATAATTAGACATTCTATAACGATAACCACTTTCAATCAGTGCGTGCAAAATATACATCTGAGTTCACAACATCAAAAATTTATTCTAACTTACATGACAAGTTCCTTGACCAATTTGTGTAAAAGTGCAGAACATGCTGTCGACGACCTCCTTTGAATAGCGCATTGCGTATCGACAAGTTTCCTGACAGAATACTGTTAAATTGAGCGCGTACATTTGACGACTGGATTCTCCATTAGGCTAAAAGTATGATGTACATATAAATAATAATAATTTTCCCGTACGTGTCATAAGAGGTGACTAAGAGAGCTTATGGTAGAAGGATAGACAGCAGCGTCCCTCTTAAAATATCACCAAAAGCCAAACTGCGGTTGCCAACCCACCTACCAAGCATGACAACTACTGGCAAACCCCTCCTTATGGAAAAGGCTATGGTCAGGAACGGGCATTTAATGGCTAATACAACAACAATAAATATGTAATAATAGTTAAAAAATAATAATGGCTACCCAAAAAATGCACGGTCAATATAAACGAAAAATCGATACATTTGTTATTGCCACTCAATTATACGAAAAAATGGGATAGCGATATCCGTTGTTTTATTCTTTCTCATGCGATGATTACCGAAACAATTCTATCAATATATTCGTTTGCTACTTATCTTGGGGGTCAGATAATATTAGGTATCTATGTATCCACACATGCAATACCTACCTCTTGCGCTCCAAATCCCGTCAGAATTACAGGATCGCCTTCTGACAATTCATTATTATCCAAATCAAGAATGGTAACATGTTGTAAATCAAAAGAACCAGTTATTTTAACTATAGCTATATCATTAACTCTCGAAGTACCATCATACCCCTCATTGATATTTATAGCCTCGGCGTTATATTGTAGTCCTCCTTTATCTAAATTGTTAGTACCAACAACAACTTTAACGTATTGAGGTTCAGCACTGAAAATAAAAATCACACTAATTATTAAATGTTATTCACATTTAAGACGACTTACATAATAATATGTATAGGAATATCTATAGTATTTAGATGTATATAAACAGTTAGCATCTATAATAAAAGTGTTAAATAGACTATTTCACATTATGTTATTTTGATATATCTATGGCGTACCGAAGTTTGATGACTTTATAGTTTGATTCTATTGTCACTGTCATTGTTATAATTTTCTACTGTGTGTTCTGTATCCGGTAGGTACTTTGTGTAAAATTTGGTTATACAATAAAACATGTTTGATAGAAAAATGGTTTTTTAAATGAAATACTATCTTAATAACAATCTTGGCTTAATTTGAAACTAGATGGGCCTGGTTGTATATTACCAAGACTATTTATTCATGAATAATTCTTTGCCTTTCTTTGCTTTGTACACTTTGATTTTAGAAGTAGGAAAGAAATATATCAATAAATGAAATAGGCACCACTTCTAGATGGTGTATTAAAATAAAACATGCACCAATTTTCAAGTTAGACCTTGAGTAATAATATAACAATGAAAACCGCATCCAATTTGATGCAGTAATTTTTACGTGATTATTATTAGGGCTCCTAATATATTTTTTTCTGAAATATCTCTGTACAGACATTGGCTAGACAGTTAATATTACATTCGATTCTAGGTGCCATTTCTCTAAAATTTTGATTTGATATCACTGCGATTTTTTTCTAATGACCAATCTAAATCAAATTTCTAGTAGATTTAAGTCAAAATGATTATAAATTTAATTAATAAAAGTCTCTAAAACAGTAATTTCCTGAAATTATGAAATTCAAAAATTTTAAAATTTGAAAAAAAATGGCTGTTTAAACAAAATCTGAATCGATCCCATTGTTTATTCATATTCCTAACATAATATCCTAATGTATTCAAATATTAGAAAGTGTTTGGAATTTATATTTGCATTCTCGATATACCCAACCCCTTATAGAACGCCGAATTTTATCAAAATACATGTCATAAAACAGTTGTACCTACATATTTGCGACAGATATGAGCAAGAGCAAGCATGGATGGCATTTCAACTACGTTATTTCTTACTCACCCTAGCACACAGTGTGCAGCAGTGACAACATGTGATTTTGACACAACTGCACTGCCACATACATGGTGGCCAGTCAAATTCTGAAGTGAAGCGTGAAATTTTCCGAATTCTATAGGGGCGTCGTAACCTCCTACCACTCGATGTATGGTGCTTAAAACTAGTAACAACAAATTTAAGAAGCTGTAATTTTATTTATATTATTTGATAATTAGTAACAACTTGAGAAATACTTATTTACTAGATATTTAGTATTAAATACTAACAAGTATTTTTACAGACGACTGTCTCTTAGGCATATTTAGAAGGAGACCCGGTGGGTCAAGCTCACCCCAGAATAGTTTGGTGCCTTAGAATACGAGCAAAACTTCACAAAGACATTGATGAGAGTACATAAGTGTCTTTTTTTTTTGTTAAGAGGCAAGCATTGCTAACAATATATCCTATCATGTCGTTTTTCACGGTGTTTACCCCGCAAACTGAAGTTGATCGTTACTAATTTAAGATATAAAATGGACATACCTTTATATTGTACTAAAACAAAGCCTACAACAATTAACGTATTATATATTCTGTTATACATTATATTCACTGTTTTTCATAATTATAAACGGTCTATCAAAGTAAAATGATTTTTGAAAATTGAATTATTTGTGTGGTAAGCAGTGTTATCAACACTTCTTATCATATCAATTAATTGTCGTGATTAATTGATTTAATCAAACTGTTATCGTCAGTATTATAATTTATTACCTTTTGTCATAAAATAATACACTGATAATGGTAATTTGGTAAACAAAAATGAGTCCACACTTACACTACGAGTTCTCGCCGTGCGATTTATTTTCTAACTTTAGTCTTTACCCGTAACTTCGTACGCGTGACGAGTATATGATTATTTTACCGGGAAGAACTGGCTATGGATCTAAATTCATTTTCATCTCAAATACTACCTTTTTTTTTTTTTTTTTTTTTTTTTTTAACGTCTGGAAAATGCTTTATGCAGACCCATACACCTTATGGGAGGTGTATGGGTACTGTGGGAGTCCCCCCGTAAGGTGGGGGTGTACCCACCAAAAACCAGACGATATACCCTCGAGGTGCCATATGTCGGAGACATGGGTTCGCTTTCGCACTCACCACATCTCCGACGGCAGCGACCCGCCCCTTGATGGTAAGAGCAGGTCTCCTCTCTCAAGATAGGGTGAATGGCGTGCTCACCCTACCACTCGGGGGGATGCGCCGGTATATAAGCACATCCCCCAGGACCATTGGGACAATACCTTCCCACAGGTATCACCCCGGTCCCAGTGGGGAAGGAGGAGGGGCGGAACTGGGCACGCCCCTTCTTCTGCGTCTGACTCGTCTGCGGCGGATTGACGGTGCGAGAGTGGCACTCTCCCGCTCCCTTTCCGCCGCCTCCTTCTGCGACATGACGGCATCGCAGAAGACGAGCATTGCTTCCCACGATCTCTCACTGCTCACCATCCGCCGGACTACGGCGGGCAGCGAGAGATCGGTCCCGACTACCGCGGACAAGTCACGACGCTCATCGGCATACGCTGGGCACTTCTCCAGCGTATGCTCCGCCGTGTCCTGGTCCGCTCCACAGGCATGGCACTCCTCCGTCGGCTCCTTGCGCGCGATATGACACAGATATCGTCCAAAGCACCCATGCCCGGACAGTATCTGTGTCATCCTGAAGGTCAGCGGCCTTCGCCGCCTATCCATCCACTTCTTAAGAAGTGGACGGATAGCCTCGACGGTCCTCCGGCCGGCCGATGGCTCGACCAGCCGCTGTTCCCACTCCCGCTGCAGGACCCGTCGAACGTGGGACTTCCGCAGCGCAACTTCCAGGCTGGAAGGCTCGGCACCCTGACGCCTCCGCTCCGCACGCCACTCGTAGACCGACGCACAGGCATTGGCCTCCAACTCCCAGGGCGGCGAGCCCGCCATCGCACATGCCGCCTCCGTGGAGATAGTGCGGTATCCGCGTATAATGCGGATCGCCATGGCCCTATGTGGCCTGTTTAAACAGGCCACATTTTGCCTACTCAGGGCCCTGTTCCATATCGGGGCCCCATATAAGGCCATGGACCTCACCACCCCAAGGTAAAGGCGGCGTGTGCTCCCTCCTGGCCCTCCTATGTTTGGCAGCAGCCGGCTTAGAGCACCGGCAGCCGCCATAAGGCGGGGGCCAACCTCTGGAAGTGCCTACGGAAGTTCCAGCGACTGTCTAAGTCAAGCCCCAAGTACCTCATATGGGGCTTGACGACCAATCTCTGGCCACTGACCATTATGTGGGCTCCCTCTGGTGGCGCTCGTCGGGGTCTGTGAAAGCAAAGTACCTCCGACTTCTCCAGCGCCACATGGAGCCCAAGGCGACGCGCACGACCGACGACGAGTGCCACGCTTGCCGTGGCAAGACGGGCAGCCTCCCTGTAAGTGCTCCCCTTGGCAACAACAAGCGTGTCGTCTGCATAGCAGACAACATCGCTGCCGGAAAGTAGAGCACCCCGCAAGTTCCAGTCATACCCGATGTCCCACAGGATCGGTCCCAGCACCGACCCCTGTGGGACACCACGCTGCATCTCCCTCGACGCTACCGCCCCATTCTGTCCCACGCAATGCACTATTCTGTGCTCTAGGTAGGTCCCGATTACGTCCCGCAAGTAGAGAGGCACCCGATGATATTTTAGTGCCTCCCTAATGCACGCGAATGGCAGGGTGTTGAAGGCGTTCTTGATGTCAAGCGACACTGCCAACAGCACCCCACCGCTGGACGTCGCCTCATCCGAGAGAACCCGAACACGAGCGACGGCATCAATGGTGCTCAGACCCGCACGAAATCCGAACTGCCTCGGGCTGAGGCCGGGACCTACTTGGGACAAGTGTTGGGTGAGGCGACCTGCTATTATTCTTTCAAACAGCTTGCCAACCTCCCCCAACAATACTATGGGACGGAATGCCGAGGGTGCAAGGGAACCTGCGGGGTGCCCCTCCTTCCGTAAGAGGACCACTCTACCCATCTTCCACTCGTCGGGAAATCGTCCCGTCTCCAGGCACCTGTCGAACAGGTCCCGGAGACGGTCCCCTAGGGCGCCCAGGGCCAAGGCTAGAACGCGGCCGGGTATCCCATCAGGCCCCGGGGCGGTGTTCTTCGCTCGGAGCCTATCCACAGCCGCTGCAAACTCCTCCTGGGAGACTCTCATGGCCCCTACAGCTCCAGCACCGCTAACCTCATGGCTCCGCGGTAACATGGGAGGGGGTGTAAACTCCGGCTGCGCTGGGAAAAGCGCAGCCAGTACCTCTTCCAGCTGCTGGGGCGGGATGCGTTCCGCTTCTGGGGGCGCCCAGGGGCGCATTTTGCCCCTTACCGTACGGTACGGGCGCCCCCATGGATCCCTATCGAGAGTTTCGAGAAGCTCCTTCCTGGCCCTCTCCTTGGCGCTGGTGATGGCTAGCCGCAGGGTTTTCGTCTTCTCCCGATAGACCCTGTACAGCTCAGCTTCCTCCTCGGCGTTGCGGCCTGTCCTTCTGCGGCGGTACCGCGTGTACTGACGTCGAGCGGCCCCTAGTTCATCTCTGAGGGCCGCTATCTCCTCCGACCACCAGTACACCTGTCGCCGAGTAGGAGGGGGACCGGCTCGAGGCATTGATGCATCACATATCTGCGTCAATACCTCCGTGAACTGGTGTGCCTCCCCTTCCACCTCCACAGGCCTGGGACGACTGTCTAATGCCCAAGCCTGAACTAAGGAAGCCTCCACCAAGACGTCCCTATCAAGACGCCTCAATGCCCATTTGGGGAACGTCGGGACGTGCCTACCCCCCGGTGATCGAGGGCCGGGGCCATGGACGAGGGGAGCACGTCCAACCGAATGTAACGGTGATCAGACATGGTCTCCACCTCGGCCATTACTCTCCAGCCCCGTACCCTGTGTGCGATTGTAGAACTGGCGAGCGAAATGTCAACCATCGACTCGCCATTAAATCGCACACACGTGGCAGCTGACCCGTGATTTAGGACCACTAAGCCAGCCGCGATCGCCCAATCCTCCAGGAGCTTGCCGCGAGCAGTGGTAACCCGGTCGCCCCACGCCATTAATCTGGCATTGAGGTCACCGAGTACCATCACAGGACGTGTTGAAAATTGTCCTATAAGGGCTCCCAACCCATCTATGTACTGCCCGAACTCAGCAAAACTCCTGTTGGGAGAGAAGTACACCCCGACGACAAGGATTTCCCCCCAGCTCACGCCAACGATGCCGGACGAACTGAAGAGACCCGCGGCCTGCGGGGAGGTAGGTTTCCTACTAACACTTCCTACCGCAACCAGCGCATCAGTGTCGCCAAACCAGTTATCCCCTAGAGGGATAAACAGAGGCTCGGCGGCCACAACCAAATCCACTCCCATTTCTGCGACGCTCTGAAAAAGAAGATTTTGAGCGTCGCGGCAGTGGTTCAGATTTGCTTGTAGGATGCGATGGTGCATTTATCGAAGTTCCATCGCCTCCTGCACACCCTCTGGGAAGGTCCAGCGGTAGGGGTCATAGTTGGCCCTCTTTTCCACCCCTGAGGGGAGTACAGGTTTTTGCCCCCACTCGGTGGTTGGCAGGGCGACCCGCCGCCGAGCATAGCATGCACTTTGGGGCAGCACTACAGACCGCCGCCTTGTGGCCAGCCTCTCCGCAGCGGAAGCATAGTCCGCTCCGGTCCTCCGCAAGTGTGCATTTGGCACGAACGTGCCCGATCTGAAGGCACCGAAAGCAGCGCAAGGGCTGTGCCCTAAGAAGCTCGGCCCTGGCTTTGACCCAGCCAATGCCAAGACGACCCGCCGTCGTAATGCATTTGATCGCAACGACGGGTCCCCTGACCCAGCAGGTACCTAGACCAGAAGGGCCTCTGCGGATTGTGCCGGCTCTGACTTCATCCGGCCGGCAACCCCCTCTCTAGCGACCGCCTCTGCGACCTCTTCAGGGGTCACAGCATCGTCCAAATCCAGTACCCTCATCTCGGCGGTCTTGCAGGGCCTGGACACCTTTACCCACTCCTCGGGAAGGACCTGTCGGATCCTCTCAGCTAGCTGGTCCGCATGACCACCATTCTCAGCGCCCAGGATTTCAATAATCCGGGCGCCCGTAGCCGCCACCTTCATTTTTACCCCCCCGATCCCCATGTCCGGAAGACTGATTTTACTCCTGGTCTCCCGGATAATCTGTGAGTAAGTAACTCCGCGCCCTTCAGCCTCGGGGTTCAGAGCCAATACCACCGCTGCTGAACGCGGGGCACGGAGCTTTGCTGGGGAGGGCTTGCCACCGCCATTCTTCTTTGGCTGTTGGGCCGGGCCTCCTGGACGACGAGAATGCTGTTTAGCAGTCATCTGCCTCTCCCGCATCTGAGTTTGACGCCCTCTACGCCTGGACACCTCAGTCCAAGTCTCCTCTGAAGCCGTAGCCTTTGGATTTTCCCGGGGAAGGATCGTCGGCAGCGACGGCCAGTTCCTATCCAGGACCTGCGAAGAGAGAGGCCTGACAGCAGCAGGTTGCGGTTGCTGCACTCTTACGGCCGCCTGATTGGGTTGCCGTTCCGCTGGCAGGCGGGCTTTGATAGCACCCGCCGCTGGCTGGCTCGCAAG